TGGTCCCTCAAAAGTTCACGCAAACTCCCAGCATCTCTCCTAGGGTGGCATCACCCCCAGTTTTACAGCCACAGAAGGGTAGTGGTGAATAAGACCAGCAGCAGATGAAGACTTCAGCTCCCACAACATTTAAGACATAAAAATGACATTTGTTTGAAGAGCAGCTCCCCTGGACTTCAGGCTGCACCTCTGAGAGCTCCGCACCCCTCACATCCATCCCCAGGGTCTCAGATCAGCTTTCCAGAGACGCAATGAGCATTTCCAGGGCTGCAGTGAGCTGCCCGTTGCTCATCATGCCCAGAGGCAGATGCCCAGCTCAGACCCCCACAGCAGCCCTGTAAAAAACCCTCCTCTAAAATGACTTTTCCCCCCTCTCCCCACGCTCACTGGCAACACAACCTAATGATCTTCCCATCAGAAGGGCAGGGCTGGCCTGAAAAATGACCTCCCACCCAAGCACGCTTTTTGCACCACAATGGGAAGCTAAAATACAGTTTGATACCGAAGAAAACATTTTGTTCTGCCAGAGAGGCCACGAAGACCTCCAGGTCAGAAAGTCTTGGAAATGTAGGTGCAGATGGTTGTTTTCCAGCAATGCACAGAAAAAGCTCATCTCAACAACCCACAAAGTGCTGCAGCTAACAGAAAATCAAATCAAATCTGTGTAAAACAACTCCTTCCTCAAGCTCTGCTCTCCAAGCACATTTTGGCACCCACTCAGCAGACAAAGCTTTTGACACATGGAGCTGTAACTGAGCCAAGCTGTGAGCAAAGACCACTCTGGGAGGAACAGGAGGCAGTGCTAGCAAGGAACTACCAGCCCCACAGGCAAATCCCACCTTCCCAGCATCCCGTGGCATGACGCGCAGCCAGGGCTTTTTTGCATCCCTCCTTTTGTTAATGATACACTCTGTGTAAATTTTCACTTGGAAATGATTAAGCTGTGAACCCATTAAAGAGCTATTTCTCACTCCCTTCAGCTGTGACACCCCGCTCACGATAACAGCAAATTCATAAATGGCAACCTGAATTACACAGCCTTTTTCTTAATGGATTTTTGAGAAGCAAAGTGTACCAGCAGTGTGACCAAAGTACAGGTTCAAGCATTCACACAGGCCCTACATGCCACTTATCTTTTGGGGGCATGTACAGCTGTGAGTTTATCTAAAACACCTGGTTTCAGATAGGCAAGGGCTTTTCATTCCTAAAGGCACACTCCAGGATCAACATCAGCCCAGTCAGAAGAATAATAATTAAAAAAAAAGGCAAATATGCCAGCGTTTGTCTTGAAAACCCTCCAGAAAAACAAAATCTCTGTGGCCTAAATCTAATCTGCAGCTGCAGTGCACATGTCTGGGTAGTGTGGGATGGCAGCACCACTCCAACCACCACCAGCAGAGGTGCTCAGATCACACCAAGATGGTTATTGAATTCCTCAGCCCCTGGAGGGCTTAGGCATGGAAAGGAGAAGGCATAAATTTTTAAGAACCTGCAACTTTTCCTTACTTTTCTTCCCTGAAATCCCCCAAATTGAACCTGCCTGCTCTTACAGAGGAGAGTGTGGTTATTAACCACTGGTCTGGTACACTGGCAGCCCAAGTGAATGAAACAGCAAGAGACTGGAAAGGGAACTTTCTAATAGTGAAGAAATTGGAAGAAAAGGGAGAAAGTTGTAATTAACAAAGCAACAGAAGTTAATCACCTCACCTTTCCATGGTCTTTGAAGAAAAGAGATATAAAGCAAACAAAATAATAGAAAATAAACCAAGAAATCCCAAGCATGCAATGAGCAGCTGGGAAACAATCACTTTGGATGTCACGGTGCAATGAGCTGGGCACTGTGTTCCACAGAATAAATCATGCTGTAAGAACAAGCAGCTTGTGACTCGCTGCAGAAAACATGAGTTTGAGAAAACTCACTTTTTATGGAGTGACTCAGTGCAGAGCAAGCCACGCTGACTCTCTGAAATCAGGGCTTTGCTGCCCTGTCCCCCAGGCAGTGTCACTGCGATGAGCTACTCAGAACTGCTTTGAAAAGAAACATCTTCCAAGTTGTTATGCTCTTTATGTTCAAGGCAACAGTTAAGAGTAAGTGTAAGAGTGATGAATGCACGGTTTGGGTGTTTTAATAAGCTTTTTCTTTCATGTTGCTTGGTAATTAAATAGATGGAGATGTACACATGTGCCTGCTCTGCCTGGGGTATCAGTGAGTCCATCTGAACTCTGCCCTGCAGCTCTGGTTTTTTCAACATGAGAGTAGTTTTTAGGCAAAGAAACTAAACCTCTTTCCTCAGGGTTGATTTGATCTCGTGGGTTTGTTGCTCGTCTTTAAATAAATTTAAATAAGCCCACATCATTTGCACATAAGCCCTACACAAACACAAGTGAGCCAGCAGAAGTTCCAGCTCTGTGACCCTCCGGGCTGCAGAAGCACATCCCACTGCAAGCCAGGGATGCCACACCAGCCAGACTCCTGGAGATGCTGCTGCCAGACCAGGCAGGTGACAAAGCTGAAACACTTCTGAAAAAGGCAGTTTCAGTACTGGATCTCCCCAAGCACCTGCAAGGGCACCCGAAGACAAACTTCACTGGCCGGGGACAGGACTCCCAATGCCTCCATCCCGTGAGATGTGCTGAGCTGCACTTTCCACACAGCCCTGGGGACACCAAGCCACGCAGGCAGTGACCCTGCCAGGGCAGGGATGTGGCTCTGGGCTCCGTGGCAAGCTTCTCTGGAGCACAGTGCACCATCTGTGTCCTCCTGGCCGTCAGGAAAACGCCGCTGCGGAAATACCGGCGGCACCGCAGGTGTGTGTGGGGAGAAGGAGCTGCTCTTTCCACAGAGCTCAGAGAAGCCCTCAGCCCTGAAAGCCTCGCTGTGCAAGAGCCCACACAATGAACAAGGGCAGGCCCACAGCTGCACCTCCCTCACTGTGCTCCCTTCACCGTGTGCTTGCTCCTGAGAGCGGGGTTTGCCACCGAGGCACACAGGAGGGACATTGAGGCTCTAAGGTCATCATTACAGAGCTGCCCGAAAAGTCAGTCCTGAAACTGGCCAGGAATAAATGCTTTTCTGTCAATAAATGCACTGCCTGACACGTAGAGGACTTCATGCCTCTTGCAGTGGCGTGAGCAGAAATGAGGAGAGCACAAAGCGTTTCCATATTAGCCAGCCAAAGAGGGATTCCTGCACACCAAGACTCTGGTCCTCACACAAGGCAGAATTAAGATGTCATGTTCATTTCTAAGGACAGCACACGCAGAAGCCAAAAAAAAAAGTTTCTTCTTTACACCTTACCATACTAACAATTAATAAATAGGTGTGCAATTAAAACACCCTCAATCCAGATTCAAACTCCACAGAGCATTCATGCTGAATTTAGGATTTAAGTCCTGGGCTTCTAGTCATTCAATTTGCAAAATGAGGAGCACTGTCAAGTAACACAGTGGTCCATCTCACAATAGCTGGCACTGCTGTGCTTTTCCAAAACCGACAGCTGATCAACATCACCTGCAAAACCCAGCTCTGATGTCCCCTCAGCCAGTGAATAAAGCTGGCACCATCCAGCCTCACAAAACCTGGTCTGTGGGACAAAGAAACTGTGATAAAACTGAGGTTTTAGCAGCAACAAGGATTTTTAGGAATAACAAGGATTCGTGTTACTGGGAGAACGAAGAATGGGGAATAAGAAGGGGCAGCAGAAGGATGATCCTACTGCTGTATCAATAGGGATCTCAACAGGATAAACTACTGTGTCTTCATTTTAAAATGGAACACCTCTGGCTGTTGCAGCTACAAAAAGTGTCACAACAAATGGTGTGTGGGCACAAAAAAAAAAGGTCAAAGGACCCTGAACAAAGTGAAATTCCTTATCCAGGCCTTTGATATAAACTGGAGATGGTTGAAACCAAGAGGATGCTGAGGTTGCAGTTTGGAGAGAGAACTTCCTTTACACTCTGTGCAACCACATCTTCCTGGCACGGGACGGGAAGATCACTAATGGGACATCACCAAACCTCTTGTAATTAGCGAAATCACGCCTTTTCTCACTCCATGGGATACCTGGCAGATAAGCACACAAAAATCCGCCTACAACTGTCAAGCTGATAGCATCTGTTTTGACAGCCACGGCACAAAGGTCAGCCACAAACTCGCTTATAAAGGTCATTTTTCCAGCTCAGGGTGGAGGCAAAGGAGAGGGATTATGCTGGAAGTTCAGCAATACCTCTCTCCTGTCACAGCAATAAACAGAACTCCCATACACAGCTCACGGCTCGCACCTCCCCTGCCTGAAATAATCCCTAAACCACAGGTTTTTGCGTTTCCAAGAACGCCCCGCTGCACAGGCGCGCTTTGTGCCGTGTGGGTTTGGGAGCATTCCTCCCCGGACAGATTACTACTGTCTCCAAAATGCATCAAATCCATCGGAAAAGTTTATGGCAAACTTAGGGGTAAAAAAAAAAAAAAGAAAAAAAAAAGAATCAACCAGCAGAAAGCAACCCGAAAGACTTACGTCAAGATTTCTTCTGGTTCTGATTTAAAACCTGGAAAACGTACGCGCAGCCAGAGGGACCCAGACCCAAGGAGGAGGGAAGGGCAGCCGGCAAGCGGAACGCGATGTCTGGCCGCGGCTGCGATTTGCAAGTTTAATTTCTCACTGAACTTTACATGTGATTCCTTCGCTCTGCCGCGCGTGTTCTGAAGCGATGCTGGGAGGGTGGCGGCGAGCGCCTCGCCAGCTCCTTCTCCCGCTGGGACCGCGGCAGGGGACAGCCAAAAACCCAGGGGCGAGGCAAGCGCTGCCCGCACCTCCGGCCGTGCCGGAGGGGACCCGCGGGATGCGGAGGATGCTCGGGGCGCCCATCCATCCCCGCCGCCCGGAGTGATGGATGGGCTGGCGAGCTCCCGAGCGCTGCCGGATCCCAGCGCAGGAGAGGGACAGGGATCAGCGGGGACCCGCAGGGATCCGGGGGATGTGGGGGACCGCCCGCGTCCCTACCGTATGCTCGCTGCTCGACATGGTGCTGCTGCTGCTGCGGCGGGCCCGCCGGGCCGGGGCTATAAGCGCTGCGGGACACGTAGCGCGGCCCTGGGCCGGCCCCTCTCGGCCTGCGCCCGCCCCCGCCGCCGCCTCCTCCGGCCCGGCCCCCGGGGGAAGCGGGCAGGGCGCTCCGGGCCGCGGGCAGCGGCGCTCAGCCCCCCGGGGCCGCGGGCACGGAGCTCCGGCAGAGCCGCCCGCGGAAAAGCGGCCAAATGAAGCGCTTGGGGCTCTGCTGCCACGGCCAGGGAGAGGAGAGGGAGGGGAACAGCAGCCCACGCAACGCTGCTGAGGGAGAAAGCACCTCCCGAGGAGGATGATGGTGATAAAAATGATGTTTAAAATAAACAGTGCTGGAGGGCTGGTCCCTGAGGGTTTGGCCAAAATGCAAAAAAAAAGTTGAAAGGAAACACAGAGGAGCCTCCCAGCAAACAAAGTGCAGAAGGTGAGGGGGAGAGAAACCCTGTGACTGACAGCTCTGCCCCCAATCCTCCGTTTTCCACTGCTGGAAAAGCTCAGGTCCCTGAACTCTGCTGAAACAGGAAAGGAGAGGCAATGCCCTGGTGGAGGAGAAACCACAGTACAACCCTGGGATGGCCCATGAGCCAGGGACAGAGAAAGGAAGATCCTGGTGGGTGAGTAATTCTGCATCTGAGGGTGAATGGTGCCATCCAGCATGGCTCTTGTCCTCCTGGACCACTGCCTCCTGCTCCATACATGGCTCTTGTCCTCCTGGACCACTGCCTCCTGCTCCATACATGGCTCTAGTCCTCCTGGACCACTGCCTCCTGCTCCATGCCCATCCATGGATCCATCCCAGGGCCACAAGGATGGCTGTGCCAACTGTGCTGCCTCTCCTCTAGGAGGAGATACCTCACTTCTCATGGTGCCTGCAAGAGCAAATGCTCCCTCCAGGACCAACATGCTGAGCCTACTTTAACTCTACAGCACATGATCACCAGCAGTCCATAAAATATTCCTGTTTCATCTCTGTCCTTCATTCCAGCAGAGTTTGAAGTCATTGATGCCCTGAGTCCTGAGTGAAGCCCCTTGAAGGAAAAGGAGAAAGGTGTTGAGATTTTGCAATGCTCCCCAAGGTTCATTCTCCTGATGAAGTCTTAAAACAGAAAAGCAGAAACCCCAAGGGAGCAGTGAAGGGATAAATGGGAATTGAGGAATGGGGGATAAAAGGGATTTGAGGAATGAGGTCTTGCTGCAGGAAGAACAGGTCCCCCTGTGGGAAAACTTGGACGTGAAGGAATGGGGCTGGAAGGAGGCAGCAGCACCTGCTCAACCAATTCCCAAAGGCAGGCAGCTATTAGAGCATGATCAGCTATCAGCTGAACTAATCCCCAGTGTAATTCCAGTTAAACCCATGGCATTACATTTGGGATTAACTCAGCTAAACAGTACCGGGGTTGCTTTTGAGCGTTGCTCATTCCTTGCTTTTCCTCATATTGTTTTTCTCAATTAAGGGCAGATTAAATTTCTGCCATAGAAACAACACAGCGAGGTTGGATGAACAGGGAAAGAAGGCTGAATACAATATCCATTGGGAAAGTCCATTCTGGTACACTTAAATTCACATCTTTGTGAAATACCTTGCCTTTCTGAACCTTCAGGAAAGCAGAAGGGTGGAAAAGAAGCCCAACAGACCAAGGCCAGCAGGGAAACACATTTACTGAAGAACAAGGAGCAGCACCAAGGGGACTGTGAAGAAGAAGAGGCACAAAGAGGGGCTTCTGTAACAACAAACCACTCTAAACCCCCCTGGCCTGACACGTAACTGGTTCTAGAGAGGGCATTTTTGAAGGAAAACATTTTGTTTTTCATTAAAAGTGAGCTGTAGAAAGGGAAAGACAGAAAACAAGTGTTACAATGTAACAGAAAAATTAGCATCCAGAGCATGTAACACCTCCATGTTTCCCCTAGATACCTATCAGTGAGACAGAAAATGAGTCAACATTATCTCCATTTGTTGCATCATTCTTCACTTCTAACTTCATCAAAGTTATTTCCCTTCTAGGAATTAAACTGACTGCTCATCACCTTCCTGAGAATTGGAGCAAATAATACTTTGTGTATAAGAGATCCAAGGGTTTTTCACCTATTTTTCACTTATTTTTCCCAAGCACAATGGAGAGAATGGTGTGAAATTTCATTACATTAAGTTATAACAACCAAATATATTTGGATATTGTCACAAATTTTATTTTGTATGGGGCTTTTCAAGGAAGTAACTGATGAAACAATCAGAAACCAAGAAAAAAAAATCTAGTTGCTTACCTCAAGGGACACACAAATTAGTGACAATTTTCATCAAAGAACTTCTTGGACTATTGAACAAGAGCTTCAGGCTCATGCAGCCAGGGAAAGCAAGAAGGAACTGCCCCTGGATCCCTGGCAGTGCCCAAGGCTGGGCTGGATGGGGCTTGGAGCCACCCAGGACAGTGGAAGGTGTCCCTGCCCATGGCACAGGGTGGAATTGGATGAGCTTTAAGATCTCTTTCCACTCAAACCATTCAGTGATTTTATGATTACAGGGAATATTTTTATTTGTGGGGATTCTCACTCTGTTTACAGGAGTAAACTGGGATCCCTCTCCTTACTGGGAAGGACAAAAGGAAGTCCTGCCCTTGTGCACTGGGATTCAGCATTTTCCCACAAAGTCTGCACTGCCCTGACACCCCGATCTCAAAGAAACAATAAATCCCTGGAGAAAACTCTCTCAGGAGCCCATTGTGCAAGCTGCTACACTAACAGAGAGCAGAATCTATATAAACTCCCCCAAACAGGCCCAGCAAGCAGCTGCTTGTGAGGCATTTGCTCCATCCTTCTTCCCCATTCCAAATCACCTTCTCAGCCCAAATTCCAGTCCCAGCATTACCCAAGAAATTGCCCCAAAGCACCAACATTCACGTCAAGGTTTCCAAGCTGGCCACGACCAGTGGGATAGCTTCACCAGCACCTTCTGCCACCTACAAGGTGGAAATGAAGAGGCCACGTCCCTTCTGCTCTGAGATGCCAGCCCCAGAAGTGCTGCAGCCTCTGGGCAATGCCCTGGAAGGAGAGGGCTGTGCCTGGCAGAGCTCTCCCACAGGGAAGACACAGGGGGAAGGTCACTGTCTCTGAAGTTGCACAACTGTGCTCTGAAATGCTTGCAGGAATTCCCTGATTTGATGACTGCTAGGTGGAAAAGCACTCCACTACTCCCTGCACTCAAGCTACTCCACTGCTGCTGCCTCTGCTCTTGTTAATCTGCTTTCCTAGCACCAGGGAACCTGCAGATCCAGGTTCAGTGCCTTGCTTAGTTTTTCTAGTGATGGAGACACAGTTGTTGCCTTCAGCACCATTTCTTCTCAGATTCTCTGGCTTTGTTTTTTAAAGTGCCAGGGGAAGCTGTCGCCCAGTTAAGAGAGCAGCCTGCAGTCGCTGGGAATGGGACAAACTCTGCTCATCCTGTCCCCAGTGCATTAGGTACCTTTGAAATCTGAATATTCCCCAACTGAACACATGGAACTCCTCAGCCTGCAGAGATACCACAGATACTGAACTGCCCCAACAAGCACTTCCAGCTTATCCACCTCACCTTTCACCCTTTCCACAAAGGGGGTTGAATTCTGTGTACAAGTCAAGGGTGGATCTGCAGCCCTAAAGCCTCACTTGTGAAATGTCAAATCAGAAATAAGCTATGAAAGCCAAGTACAGATTGCTGGAAGCACCAGAGATCCCAGGTTAGGGCATTACCTCCTGGAGTCAGCAATCAGGACTCTAATGAGAACAGGAAACGTTTTTCCTTTCCTTGTTCCATAATTCAAACACACAGTTGGGATCATCCCCAGCTTTCAGAAAGCTGGTTGAGAGAACAAGAGCTCCAGAAGTGACAAGAAATCAGCCACTAAAGCCTCCAGCACTGGCAACACCCACTGCTGTTGGGGACTGCCACAGCCAGAAACTGAGTCCCAAACCAGTTTGCCAGGATTTCACAATGGGAGAGAGGAGCCCAAGGCAGGTACAAGCTCTGCACCTACCTGGGTCTTCTCCTAGTGCTGCAGAGCTCACTTTAAACAACCCAGGCCAGGTTTTTAACGCCCCAGTGACACAAGCACTCCTGCTCCCCAGCAGGATCTTGCTTGCCCACACAGCCTCTGGGCTGCACTGACAGTTCTGGAGGATCCCAGTGCAACTGGTCCTGCCTTGGGGATGGTATCCCACACAGATCAAATCCCCATAATCATGAGGGAAATGGTAAAATGCAGAATAATCAATCCCACAGCTGCTTCTGTCACTTTCATTTTTAGGGTGGGTACAAACGTGTCCTGTTCTCCAAGCACTGCTCAGCACAGGATCCCAGGTAGCTGGGGGAGCTGAGTGGGCAGCTGGTGTCACCTCCCTGCTCCAGCAGGGCCATCCCAGAGCACAGGGCACAGCATGGTGTGCACACCGCTCTGCCACAGCCCCAGGGAGGAGAGCCCCCAGGCTGTGTGGGCAATGTGCTCAGGGCTGGGCACTGCCCAGGGAAGAACTTGTGCCTCCTGGGCAGGGCAGTTGCTGGGCATCAGCTTCTGCCCACCACATCTGTCAACTAAGTTCTGACAGGGGTCCTTGATTTTTCTCACTCACCTATTTTTAGTTATTTCTCTTTTTTTTTATATTAATACTTCTATTTTCCCTTTGCCTGTCTATAAACCTGTAGTGCCTTCAAGGTTTCCTTGCCAGTCCCACAGAACCCAGAGCAATCCACTTGCAGACAGATCTCATGCTCTCTGATTGCACACCACAGCTCCGAGATATAAAATATATATCCCTACTAGGGCCTGGACAACACTCTACAAGGAAGGTAATATTGATTTTACAGGTATCTTTGCTTGGAAGCAAAACAAGGATCCTTATCCTTTTGTGGTGTGTCATATTGCAGTAAAGATATTTATTTATTGAGTAAAATTATCTACTACAGGCCTGTTGCCTTTGCCCTATGTGATTTCTTATCCCTATCACAGACTTTGACCCGTATCTCTACCTCATTCCTTTTACAATACCAGAATAAAAAAACCAGCTCCTGAAATTTTTTTTCAGACTCAC